TTCTGAGTCGATGTTTGGGCTGACAACCTTCATCCATTTTTTTGTGTGTTGTTGTTATTATTATTTTTATTATTATTTGGTGCGAGGAACCTTTCACAGTCCAGTTCAGTCCAAGGTGAATAGCATAGCACAAGTTGCAATACCTAATAATTAGAAACTGGGGATAGGCATATGCCATAGACACAGATCGACCATTGGCCTTTTGAGCCAAGGCCTCAGGCCCTAGCTACTAGGTCACTTGCTAGGGGTGTTATTTTATTATAATTCAGAAGTTCGTTTGATTAGTATTTCTAATCAAATGTTGTCAGAATTCTGTGTAAGCAGTGTTTTTCCAGCATTTTTATTGAACTTACTTGATAATGCTCTATCATGTATATTCTCTGTTATAGTTATTCAAGATCAGTGAAGAGGTAGTGGTTGATGCTACAACGAAAGGAAACATAGCACGTTTGATTAACCACTCTGTAAGTCATTATCCTTCTAGAACTTTTCCTAGAGTAACAATTATTTTTATTCTCCTTATTTATTTATATATTTTTTAATTCTCGATGCAGTGTACACCAAATTGCTACGCTAGGATAATGAGCGTGGGTGGTGAGGAGAACCGAATTATCCTAATAGCCAAGTCTAATGTTTCTGCTGGCAGTGAGCTAACGTACTGTATTTTATCTGAAGCTGCTCTCTTTCTTTCTATCATTTGAGTTTTATGCTTAATTCATTAATTGGGACAGAGCAATAGTGAGGTTTCATTAGTAGTAAAATTTACTTTCAGCAGCTGGGGATTCTTAACTTGTTTCAGTAGGGAGTTTCTTCTTCCATAATTCATGTTTCCCGTTCCAATAAACGCTATATTAATCTCCTGTAGTAAGTAGGCAGTATAATTTCTTCTAATCTTGTAAATTCCAATATATGTCACCACAGTTGAAATCCAAGTCGAGTATTGTTGGCGTTATATGTCACCACAGTTTAATTCCAATATATATATCTCTCTCAAGCTGATAAGTCGGTGTCTTTTCTCTTTTGCAGGTATGACTACTTGTTTGATCCTGATGAAAGTGCTGATAAGAAAGTCCCTTGCTTCTGCCAAGCGCCAAACTGCCGGAAATTTATGAACTAGCTAGTTTGGCGTATACTCATCATTAATTCCTAACACCTGACAACTTCATCGTCTCCTCCCCGGTTCGATGACAACAGAGATCTTTTTCCATCACTTGTTTATATCGTTGAAGCCAATTTCTAATCCGAGAACGTGTATAGGCATCCAAAATGGGCTCATTTATTTGTAAATTCCATTATTTTTTAGTTATGAATTGGTTTTTTATTTCAATTTAATAATATATCATTTTCCCATTCTTTTAGAAAGTTTACCTGGCGATTGGTTGACTCTCGTATCTCAATGATGACTTGTGTCTTAAGAGGATTTCTTGGCTGTTTCAATTTATGCTCAGATTTCTTATATACGAGGCGCAATTTCTAAATAAAGCGTAGAACCCGATACTTTTAGACCACATCTGCCATTGGTTTCGAGAGGCTCGGATATTGTTTACGAGAAAAGCAAACAAAAGGCTTAATTTTTGAAAATTCCCCCTTAACTTCGGGGTTTTTTTTAGATACCCCTTCAGCTATTTCAATTCCACAAAACCCGTGATTAGAGTCTTGCACGAAGCCATCCAAACTTTTTCTACTCCACTGAAGACTGAACTTTCAACATTTTTCATTTTAACCCCCAAAGTTACACCGCAGGTCTAATGTGTCATGTGACGTGCACATGAGTCACTGTGATTTTTGTAGGGCTAATGGTTATTTTCCTCTTTTTATTTTTTTATCCAAACCTCGCCAAGGCCCGTGACACGTTAGGTATATGGTTTCACTTTGGGTTTTTAGGGTAAAAAGGGTATAATACGGGAATGAAAGTTCAAAAGGGTTACTGAAACCCCTCAAAAGTTCACGGGGGATTTTTTGGAATTGAAATAGTTAAGGAAAGTTATAGGCAAAACTCCTAAACTAAAGGGGATTTTCTGAAATTCACCCTACACAAAAGGCAAAAAAAGAGAGGTGTATAAAGTGTTTTAGGCAAGAATTTAGGACATCCAACTCCTTATTGAAATCGGTAAGGATCTAAATTTCGGCTTGCCAAGAATTTCTAACCGGTTTCGGGACTAAAAGTATGTCTTGAAATTGGTTGCGACGATTTGGACGGTTCAACACCCTAATCCACTCGTTGATCCGTTTGAGGGTTGCACATGGTTCAAACTAATCAAGAATCTAATGGGTGACCAACTTTGTTGTATTCTTGTTCACACTGCAATGATCTAAAAAGTTTTTTTTTTTTTACGGGAACGTCTCAATTTTCATTGCTAGTCGGTTGGAATTAAATTAGTTCGGTATGTTTTATGAGTTTCTCTTGTTGTTGCGTCTGCAAAATTCAGGACATAAAAAACTGCAAGCTGCCAAGCTCCCTCCTTACAACGTATAAGAGGTAAATCTATACTACTTCTAATCTATAAAACAAGTGCCAAAACTTTGGCATACCGATTTTACCCTTTATAAATTACTTAATTCTAATTTTGTCCTATGTTTTAACCCTTTTTTCCCAATTACGCCTCTCTTTCTTCCCAACGTCATCCGACCTCTCCCCTACCCCTGCCCCTGTCGGGCCTCTCCCTCTCTCTCTCTTCGATAACGCCCAACTCTCCTTCTTCCATTCCTAATCCGCTCTCTCCCCTACCCCTCTCCCTCTGTCTGTCTTTAAGGGCTTGTTTGGATTGAGGGGAATAAGAGTGAAGGAAAGTTAGGGGAACCATTCACCTTGTTTGGAAACATTTAGAATGTGAAGTTATTCACCCTAGTTCCCCTTGGTTCACCCCCTAATAGTATAAAATTTGTTACCCCAAATTGGGGTGTAACCAAGGAGAAGGGAACTCCCTTCCCTTCCATTCCATTCTCTCACATAGTATAAAATTAATTCGACCTTCAGCCTCTACGCTTCCGATTCCGCCGTTTCTCAATGACAGCCCCTTCTCCCCTGCGTAATAAGCCGCCGCAATCTCGTCCATCTCCCCAAACCCCAACCCCTCCAAAACCCTAACCCTAACCTCCTGTTGCTCCTCCTCTTCCTCTCTCCTCGCCGCCACGAGATCCAGCATCTCTGTTTGATAATTTTTTAATTTAGCAGTATCTGTTTATGCATTTGCTCCTCTACAAATGTTGGTGAATATAATATACTTGAGCTAGAGAGATATTGATTGATGTTTCCTGTTTCATTTTTTAAGAGCTTTGATCAGAACAGGAGAGAAATGGTTCGGTTGGATGACTTCATATCCTTATGTATATTTGTACAGTCAGCAAGGTATGCATACTCTGATATATAGGATTGACTCATCTATAGGATCTGTGGTTTTCTTATGGTTGTTTAATCCCAAAGAGAATTAGTATGCTTGTAATTCAGCAAAGCTGTAATTCAGAAGCTTTGCTTTATTTAGAATCACATGGATGCTTCATATTACATTTTGACGCATTTTTCTTGTGTAATCTATTACTCGCCAACAGTTACATGTGTTTTGTTGCTTGTGTATAATCTAATTTTGTGCCAGTGTGATTTGAATTATTGTAGAAATTTGTGTATACTGCCTAATCCATGAACGACCCTTTTTTTCCTGTGCAGAAATTTATTTAATTCCTTCGATACCACTAAGCAGGGAAGGGTGACTCGATTTCAACCAGTTTGTTTACCGCAGTGAGTGGTTCTTCATCTTTGTTTTTCATGCAATTATGTTCTATCAGGAAAAGCCACGTCTCATTGCTTATAATGTCCAGGGATAGTTGATTCCTGGCAGAAATAAACTTTTATTGCATAATTGTTGACTGTAACTCATGCTTATCCCAAATGTATTATAAAGATGCAACTGTTTTATTTTCTGACTGATGTTTATCTACAGGTGCAAATTGTAGGATATGAACTTATTGTTGCTTGGAGACCAGTCAGCTCTCATGGTATAACCATTGGTCACACTTATATACTCTTATAACTTCTTTTGTATCAGTTTGCCTATATTTCTTAGCGATATTTGTATATGTAAATTTCTCCACTGCCTGCCTTTTGTTTATTGATGCGCATAATCCTACAAACCTGCTTCCTTATTTCTCCTCTCTTTATCATTTCCTGAACTTGATTGTCGTAAATAAGGCCAAACGATGATCTGTTTCCTATGCAGACATCAGAGTGCGTTATGCGACCTATGTCACTGATAACATAAAAAACTGTAGCATTCAAATCTTTTTTCTGTCTATTTTGTTTGTGAGCGGTTTGTGACTCAAAATTGTAACATTCATGTTGTTTTTCCTCCCGTGGTTGACTTTTTTATAACCAATATTACACAACATTTAAGATTGCTATAGAAGATCTTCTAAGGTATTTCAACTAGAACCTCAAATCTTTGATTGCTCATATGGGAACATTTCGTGATCTGATATTAATAAAGTATAGGATAATGGACTGCAAGATATTTGACTGCTCATATGGGAACATTTCGTGATCTGATATTAATAAAGTATAGGATAATGGACTGCAAGATATTTGACGACGATCGACAATATGCCCCGTAATAATAATTAAACCAACAGAACATATTTTTCATCCCGTAAGGTGCTATATTATATATTATAGCTCTAATATTGTCTGTTTAGCTTTTGAAACCTTGGGGGTATTTAGTAACAAAGATTCTTGTTATGGTTTAGTTAATTATCCATGCTGACCTTTCTATACTGGATAGCTTCTTCTGCTCTGAATGCTGGGGGGTGGGATGAAGAGGCAGGGGGATTCATTCGTTTCTCAGTGGTTGAGAAACGAAAAAACCGGAGATGAGAGGAAGGGGGTGGGGCGCATGGGTTAGAGCTGCAGGGGAAAGGGAAAGGGCATAATACCGGCAACCCCTTGGTTTTTAATGTGAATTAATAATATTAAACACGGATAATGATAATCTATACTACTTCTGAAAGTGATAATAAATGTCAAAACCTTTGCATATCCATTTTGCTCTTTACAAATTTCTTAAGTCTAATTTTATCCTGTATTTTATCCCTCTTTTCCCCTATTTAGCCATTTAGTATTAGTAGGTACCTATCCTATCCTCCCATAACGACCAACTCTTTAGCTCCCTTCGTTATCTCTCCCCTGCACATCTCCCTCTCTCTTTGATAACACCCGCATCCCTTAATTCCCTTTATTATCCGCTCTCTCCTCCCCTGCCCCTCTCCCTCTCTCCGTCTCTAAATTAATTCGATGTTCAGCCACCTCGCTTCCGCTTCAGTTTCCTCCGTTTCTCAATGCCAGCACTCTCTAAGGGCTTGTTTGGATTGAAGAGAATGAGGGTGAAGGAAAGTTAGGGGAACCATTCACTTTCATTCACCTTGTTTGGGAACACTTAGGAGGTGAATGAGGGTGAAGGAAAGTTAGGGGAACCATTCACTTTCATTCACCTTGTTTGGGAACACTTAGGAGGTGAAGTTAATTCACCCTAGTTCCCCTTGGTTCACCCCCTAATACTATAAAATTTGTTAACCCCCAAATTGGGGTGTAACCAAGGGGAAGGGAACTCCCTTCCCTTCCCTTCCCTTCTCTCATTTTTCCTTAACTTCCCTTCATCCCCTACAAATCCAAACAGACCCTAAAAATTGTTACCCTACAAATTAGGTTGTAACCAAGGGGAAGGGAACTCCCCTCCCTTCCCTTCGCTTCCCTTCTCTCATTTTCCCTTAACTTTCCTTCACCCCCTACAAATCCAAACATGCCCTAAATTCTTCCTTAATCGCTCTCTCCCCAGCCCCTCTTCCCCATCTCTCTCTGAATTATTTTGACGGTCGATCTCCTCACATCCACTGATGTATATGTCCTAAACCTCCACCGCTGATCTCCGGCCACGGCCATTGTCTAAAACCCTTAAAAAAACCCACCCTTTTCCCCAAAATTCCTGCAATTTCCCCAAAATCTCAACTCTCTCTCTCTACCCCTCGCCATAGGGACCTCAGCTCAAGTCACTCCTCTCTCCGGCGTCTACAACAAGAACCCCCTCTGCTACCTCCTCTCCGTCGAAGGCTTCAACTTCCTAATGTTTTGCCGCTAGAACGATCAATTCGATGTCAATCTCCTCCAACCCCTCTCCGAGTTCAAATCCCTCACTTAAATTTGAGTTTTTGATCGAAACCCTAGAACCAATCACGTCCAATTTGCAGGATGGTCTCGAAGATCGATGTGGTTTTGATATCACATTCAAATATACTTCATGTTGAGACTCTGTCATATGCGATGAAGAAGCTAGGGCTATCTGCGCCCGTGTATTCGACGGACCCAGTGTGCAGACTTGGGCAGCTGACGATGTATGATTACTATGCCGCTCGCAGGGTAAGTTTCATTGTATCGCCTGCATTAGGTCGAAGCTCGTTTGGAAAATGTAAGAATAGCTTGTTACCTGTGCAGTGCATGGGAAACTCGAGAGAGATGGTTGGGCTTTATGGGTTTGAGGGCAAGAGGAGAGGAGAAAGGGAAAGTGAAGTGACATGTTAATAGAACAATTGATGAAATTGGATGCGATTGATGTGGATATGATGCTGCATATGTTTCTATAATAATAATAACGAATGAATAATAAAGAATAAGTCATTCGTGCAACCATTTGTAGTTGTTTTAGTACATGGCAGTATATTTCCGTGATTTTGGGTATCAAATTGTATGTGAAAAGGGATCATGGGTTAGAGCAGCATTTCGAGCAAGTATAAACTTTAACAATTTGAGTAATATAGTGTCAAAAGTTAATTCATTTCTAGACCAACTAAAACCTGCCTGGATTATGACTGAATAGAAGTGGGAATAGTAGTATTTTATAGAGGGGTTGGATTAGAACAAAAACTATGAAGAATCCAAACAGACTTGTTACTTAGTCCTCAAGTTTCGTTGCCCAACTAAGGTAGCTCCATTGTGGATAAGACGAATGAATGATGGATGATAGATATTATAAATGAAATTATCTAAAGCCTTGAGGAATAGTTCAGAATCTAACCTTGCAAAGTATATTATTTAGTTACTGTGTTATGACAATTCAAACATTACAATTTGTTTACATCATCTTCAGAAGTTCAGATGACTCATTATGTTGAAAAAGGAATTCCTATAGGAGGCACATAATTGCTCTGTAGACTTTTGTCTCATTTTTTTTCACTACATGATATTTGGTTGCACTTTTATGCAAATATGTTTATCCATTCAAGTCATTAATATACTTCTGCTGCTGCTACTGTTTTGTATCATTATTCTTGCATTGACATATTTGTTTCTGTATTTAATATGTATATTTCTATCATTATTATTGTATTGATATATTTGTTTCTGTATTTGATTTGTATTTCTCGCTTAATATTGCAGCAAGTTTTAGATTTTCGACTTATTCACCATGGACGATATTGATTTGCCTTCCAAAACATTACGAGGCTGAGATACTCCCAAAACCATCATCTTCTGGTTGGTAGAATCATAGCCATTGCTAAATTTCACTGTGATAAATGCTTTGATGTTTCAGTGTTTTATTTCATATCATGTAACAGATAAAGGAGAGGGAATCGCATAGCTCATCATGTCACAGACCATCTTCTGGGAGGTACCGTCTGGAAGATAACAAAAGATGGAGAAGATGTTGTGTATGCCGTTGACTTCAATCGTCGGAAAGAACAGTTAAGTACCATTTAAACGAAGATTTGTATTCTTATTTAATGATCATAAGGTTGTACTCACTAAATTGGTTTATCAGGCACTTGAATGGAACTGTCCTTGAATCTTTTGTCTGGCCTGCTTTTCTGATAACAGATGCTTACAATGCTTTAAACAATCAAGTTTACAAATGTCAAAGGGACCAAGAGTTTCTTGGTAGTTCCCTATTGCCTTCTCAATTTTATGTCTCACTTATTTTATATTGTTGTTTTCTTCTCTGAATTCCTTACCTTTTGCGTTTCAGCTTGTTGACTTTGTTTTGGAGATAAGTTTATTGTTTTAAATAATAGCTCTCAATTGTTTACTTACATAGCTGCCACTTGAAAATTCTGCATTTGTAATAGCTATATTGCTTACATAGCTTTAGATTTTGGCTTAGTTATAGATCTCCCTTGCACTTGACAAATGTACAACAGAAATTTTTACTATGTTGCCATTGTTGTAGAAGAAAATTTCATGTAACTATATTTGACTGACTGATTGTTTTTTGTAGGTTGAAGTAAATGGAAAGGAGGCTACTACTCTTTATAAGTTCTTGAAATAAAAAATGAGGTTTTTTTGGGTGATGATATCAAGTGGAATTTTACTAAGTTCCTTGTGAACAAAGAAGAAAAAGTCGTGGAAAGATATGCACCAACCACCACATCTTTAAAAATAGAGGTACTACTTTGACAGTGTACTATATAATTTTATTTTACTTTTATTTGTACTTATTATTGCTACTATACTTTATCTTCCATAAAACAATACAGAGCCTTTTGGGGTTTGCATGAATTTAAGTGCCTTCTTTGAGGAACTATATTAATGATAATGCAAGTATGTGACCTTATGTATGAATAAAGGGATGCTTCTTCTAAAAAACTTGTATATTGATGGAAATTCATTAGCTTCTTGTTGTATGTAATAAACATTATTTATTTTAAATTATTGGCAAAAATATTATTTATTTTAAATTGTTGGATTCAACAATAACACAAGCTATCATGTTGACTCTTTTTTTCACTCTCATTGTATGTATATCGCCATGCTAATTGAATACTTTCCTGGTTTGTAATGTGATGCTGAATATTAGTTATTTGAAGTTAAGATCAACTAACTTTTTCTTGATTGTACGATCACTTTTATCACGCACACCATATATATATGGTTGAATATTAGGTTCCTCTCTATAGACAATATCGTAAGAGATAATGTTTAATTGACATTCATCTTGTGTATTGTGTATAAGTTCAATGCTTAATTATGGAAACATTATGGATTTTGACTCTTGTAGTTTCTTAATATGCATCACGTGCAACGCACGTATAGCATACTAGTTTTATAAAACCCCTAAAACTTTGGGGCGTATGAAGGGTAAATTAATCTTTTACAATTTATATGATGCAAATCCAGTATTTGGGACTGGTTTTGATTAGGTTTATTAAGTGAATGTGCTACATCACTAATAAGCGAGAGATTTATGTAAACTTTATGAGATCTATAGACATTATTATGGAAAATTTCATTGCAATTCTTTAATTATGCTGGTCACAAAGCATCTGAAAGAAAATTAATACCAAAGGAGCGGCAGTGAGAGAAATAAGTTGGGAGAAGCTTTACGGCCAATCATATGCGAAATAGGATATATTGCTAGATGTGTAGGATCATAAGAAAGGAGAAAGTGGGATTGATTATCAAAACCAAGGAATTGTTTTTGTTACAGGTGATGTTTTTTTTTTTAATTTTTGAGGGGGACTCTTTGGTAGAATTATTTGTCTCCAACCATAGGAGAGGGTGCATTACTGAATTCAGTACCCTTCAACACCTCGGAGATTGTTTCTCTAGTTGTTGTCTCTTGTTTCTCTCTTCTATTTCCAGGTGGTTCTTTGATACTCTTCTGAAAGTACGTAATTCTAGCTAGATTCATAGTTCTCTGCAGTGCGAGTAGACTAACTCAAAATTTATGCTCTGAATTGTGAGGAGACTGCACAAATCAACAAAGAACCGCAGGGCAAGTTTGATTGTACGACCAACTCTTTATAGAAATTTGTCACTAGAGAGGATAAAAGTAGCTCATTAAGAAAACACGAATAGGAACTGCGGGCATATTTTAAACATGATGCAGAGAGAGAAGTGTGAATAGCGTGCGTTAGCTGGCCAGTAAATGCAAATTCTATTGAGACATGTTTTGTTTATGATACACCCGCATACCCCCCCCCCCCCCACCCCGCCCCACCCCAGCAGTTCCTCCCACAAACAACCACCCACCGACCCAAATCGCCAACACACACACATCATAAAAAAAAAAAACCACAGGTACTTATCTACTCCTTAGCTTACTCATGCATGAATGATCAGATGAAAATCAATAGAGATGGTGCGATAAGAGTAGGTCCATCAGGATAGAATCTGGCCAAATCGAAGGCTTATTATGGGATAATAAAGAGACTCGCAAGTTGGTTTCGCGTATTGTTCAGGTGCTACTGATGTATGTGCTTGATGCGAAATTGTTGCTTGTTCTTTATGAGCTGATTTAATTTTGGGAGTAACGTTGTCCACGACTTGTGTTAGATTAATATTTGACTCTGAGCAGACGATAGATGTTATTCAGAATGCTGCCAAGATGAATCTAACTATGATATCTGTTGCGCGTAGCGGAAATTTCGGCAGCACTTCGACAGCACAACAAGAGAGTCGGGTCGCAATAGAAATTCCTGTTTCACAAAGGAAACAAGAACCTTAAGCAAAGTATCTCAACCAAGTGAGATATCAGTTCTAGGACTGGCCTGTCGAGGGAACCTAAATAAGCTATTACAAATCACACAAATAGCGAGATAATTAATTTTACGTGGTTCGGCAAATTGTCTACGTCCACGGGGAGAGGATGGGGAGATTCCACTAAATTAATGAGAGTACAAAGGGTTATAATCTCACAAAATTCATAAACTATAACCCTCAAGCAAAGCTCTCAACTTGCTCACAATATCTTCCTCTCACAATGCTCAAAAGTCTCTCTAATATCTGATTACAACTCTCATCTCTTTTGATAATTGATTCTAATCTTCATATATATAGAAAAACTAAAACCAAAACAGACTAGGAATTCTAAAACAAAAAACAAAACAAATTAGGAATCCTAATAACCTCATGTTACCAAAATAGATTAGGAATCCTAATAACCTCGTATTACCAAAATAGATTAAGAATACTACTATCCAACAATATCATCACAATGATCGATCCGAGAATTTCTGATATTAATAACAAAAATCACGGCAGGCTCGGTCGTGACGCATTCACAACAAACTAAGTGGGGGATTTCTCGCAAAGTTGGGGATCGAGTAGGATCTTGGTCACGCAATTCTCGAGGGGACACCGTATGAGATTTGTCAGTTTCATTGATCAGGACATTGTGGGCGTGTAATAGCCTCGGATAGCGTCGTCCGATGATGCTTTTCGTGAAGCTTAGTTTGTTTGTTTTTTTTTTCCTGCTTAAGGGTCGAATTTAATATATCTTCCTTGGAAATGATTCACCTAGCTTTTCCGTGTTTCTTTATTAGGGGCTGTTTGTTTTGCTGTTTTTGAGAGGTTTTAAGAGTGGAAAGCTGACATTTTGTCAGAAAATGTCAGCTTTCCACCCTTAAAAAAAATTACCCAAACGCGTCCTTAGAGCCTCATAATGGGAAAGTACCCAAATCGAAATTAAATTGCTTTTTGTGAGACAATTGCAAGGTTTGAAATGCGCTCGATAGTGTTAATTTCCAGGAGGGGGTTGTCAAAAAAATAAATTGGAGATGTGAAAGTAAAGGGATGTTTACTATAAATTCCTATTATACATTTAAGGAGGAGAGTCAAAAACATTCATTTTTTTGAAGTGCGGTCTTCTGACTTCAATGTAAGATTTAGTCAAATTATCTTTTGCAAGCATCGGATTCTTCTTTTGAGGAATTGGATGATTTATGTTCTTGAGGGAGATACTTACTCTTCTAGAAAAATTCTGTAGTGTAGTTTTCTATTTTCTATTAAATTAAATTTTCAAGTATTACATTCTTCTTTTGAATAATAAGATGATTTATGTTCTTGGGAGACGTCCTATATTTTCTCTTCTAAAAAACTAAGGTGGAATGCATTTGTGTGTAGTTTAATGAGGTGCGCTTGATATGAATCGTAATATGAGAAATTTCGCAAAACCTTTTTGGTTAGGACTCTTCCTATCTGATACGATACAACTATTTGGAAATGTAAAACCTTCTTCATGCATACAACCACAGTTTCATTTTGAGACCCAATCTCATTATTTAAAAAACAAACAAACCCACCTTCTTCGAGTAATTTTCTTTTAGTTTTTGAAGAGCATGGATTGTCACAGACCACAAAATTGGGCTCTAATTAGTTTGTTGTAGAGCTTTTAGTTTCTTCCATATTCTTTCAGAACATATATGTGACACGAAACAGACTATATCAACATATATTCTTGTAAATGTTTTGGATGTTTTGAACCTTATAGTTCTATCTGTATAGATATTTTTTAGAATATAAAAGTACAACCCTCAAACATCACCACAATTTCGGAATTTGAATGTAATTATTAGAAACTTTGACATGATATTAGAGTGGTCCAAATTCTAATCCCACCGACTGTGAATTTAAAATAAATATGAGCCTATGTTTCGACCCATAAAAATGGTGTTGATCCAGCGAGACATATTAAAATATAAAAACATAACAAAATATAACCCTCAGTTGAAAACATTATGTAGTTGTAAAAGTGAAATATCTAAAAGAATCTACATCAGATTTTTTTCAAGTTTCCTTAAAAAAATGTTGAAGTTAGGTTAAAGAGCGAGGATTGTATCAAAACACTCTATAAAACAGGGGTAATCTATATCATTCATAAGTGGTTAGAGGATTAGTTTTAGAATTGTGGCTATTAAATCAATAGTTTAAACCACCTCATTCCTATGGAATGGTTCCGATAGGTTCCTTACTAGATTAAAGTGAGAAAAGTGAACAACGCTCCCAATTAAAATAATATAATAACTAACTAATATATTTATCCTTTTCACATTTGAACATTAAGATAACTACCAAGATTTAGCTATCGGTTACTAATGACTAAAAAACCAATTCTTTCTTTTTACTTTTTTTCCACCTCTTTCATTCCCACTTTATTTATTTATTTTCTCCAGAATAAGCCACGAGATGATTTTTTTTTTTTCATTTTCTATCCACACAACTCTTAAATGTTTTGCGCTTCGGTCCTTAACTAGCTTGGATAGGAAAGATTGTAAATAATGAATTTAGACTTTGTGATCATTTATTTATTAGGATAGAGCTTTACTTGCATAGTAATAGTTCATAGATTTTGGAGAAAGTTAAGACTGAATGGTTTTAACTGAATAGGAAAAGATAAGAGAGCATGGGATATTATGACGTGGATTAGAAGCGTTCAAATCCAGAGAGGATCGTATTCTCTCAATCATTACTATCTATCTCAATTTCAATAGATGAGATCACACCACATAAATCTTTCATAAAATAAAACAAGTAATAAATGACCTATAAGGTTTCATAAAATAAGTATAAGCCAAATTTGGCCTTAAAAGTAGACTTGTTTTGGGAAAATGTAAAGTTAAGACTTTTAACAAACAATTAATTACTAAATTAACCAAATTTATGAAAATTCTTCTCAAGTGACCAGCGGAACACAATAACTTACTAGGGGGCATGAATGGCCCTTACTCGAATCTATTCCGATTACTTCACAGGGACGCTTTTCAACAAATAAGCGTTTCAAATTAACCAAAGTTTAGGCATGCATAACAGCATTAATCATCAAATAAGCGTTTCAATTTTAGTCCAATTTGTTTCTAATTAATTTTGGAAATTACTATTTCTTCCCTATAAACTGTCATATTAACCATGGTACTGTTCCCAACAGTTAAACCGTCAGAAATCCCACTTCAAAGAACTGCACTTAAACTTTGGTTCACTGACCCCAATAATACTCGCATTAGGAAAAACGAAGGATTTTTTACGGTTGCAACATTTGCAACGGCTTTTAATTTCAGGCCGTCTTACCTAAAACGAGAAACAACATAACAAGGCAGCAACCTTACCTTCAAGATGATCCCATCAAGTTCTCAATTTTTCCTGAAAAATACAATTACGTAATAGAAGCATTAATCAGTCTGAGATTTAAAAAAAAACAGTAGTAGCTTCTTCTTTTCCCCTTCTTTTCTTTTTTTTTTTTTTTTTTTTTTTTTTTGAGAGAGAGAGAGAGAGATGGAGGTATTACCTATAAATTATGCAATGAATAAACAAACTAAAACAAGAACCCAAAGAGATAAATTTCTACGCAAAAACACAAATGAACTCATAAGAGCATCGTACCTGGAGTAGTCATCGGCAGACTCAGCAAGCCATGCCCCTTCATGCAAGTTTGAAAGTGGCTCAAGATTTTTTGCTCGAGGCAAGAAATTAATTTATAGATATGATAACTGAACAAGAACAAGATTGCAGGACCGACATTGGATCCTTGCCACAAGCAAACAGAAGATTTTTTTTTTTTTTTGCCAGAAATTAACAACGAACTAAACAAAGAACAAAAGGCCCTAGGTGATGCAGATCAAACACAAGCAATATAAGAGCCCATGGCCCTTATAAACAGAAAGAAAATTCAAAAAACATTAAATAGAAATTGTCTCAATGTGTACTTTCAGGAGAGAGATGTATCCGACTTAAATTAGCCCTACATTCTGGGATTATAGCCTCACTTTGCTTGGAACCCTCAACAGATATAACAGCATCAGAATTCTTAACAAACCCTTTCTCCTCAGCAGCAACAGAAATCTCAACTTGTTGTGCTTTATTATCACTAGGCTTATCGCCCGGTTGTTCCTCAGGGTCGCTAGGGTTTTTGTCGCCTTCGCCTCCATCAGCAGCAACTGTGTTATTGTCTTCCTCCAGGTTTGTGGGCAAACTCCCTTCCACATGATCCATGGACTTGGCAGTCACATTCTCATTGTTTGATTCGGGAGAATTATTCTGCTGTTCAGAACACACCAGGGGTAATGCAATATGCATCGCCTCTTTCATTGCTTCCATCTGCTTTTTGTAAAGGGACATGGCTCTCTGTACACAGACACACAATAATCCACTTAATCTCAAGCAAGCAAGTACATCAATTTGAAATTAGAAGTTTGCAACTTTGAAGGATATCCATCAATAGTGTTCAGAAATGGGTCAGCTAAAATGTGCACAAAAACCTTTACAAAAGGAAAGAAAACATAACATGTCCAGAAAAAAAAACTGCACTGGAGCTATAGAAGAGTTTCTAATATTTGAATTGATATCACTGACAACGCATTGACAAATAACCGATGACCACTAAACACATACTCTTTCCTGTAAATATGGAGAATATGCATAAATGTCTACACACTGCAATGACCAGAAGCTTCATAAAGCTGAACATTTCTTACAAGCGCTCAAGAACGCTTATGATAACAAGATTTGTGAGATCAGGTGTTGAGAATGAGGAGTCCTATGGGAGCTCTGGTGTGAAAATATTGTGAGAACTTCAAGATAGGTATACCCATGGATTATCCACTCCATTCATCTTATTTTAATACATCCAAATTAGGCCTCGTAAGTCGTAATACAAATTAACTTGACAAGAAGGTTAGATAATCTGAGAGCTTTTTTATGTTTACATTTGTGGGGCTTTTTTATGTTTACATTTGTGGGCTAAAGAAGAGTGGGAGGGAAATGGAGAGGAGAGGGGGTAGGCAAGAAGTGTGTAAAAATTAGAATCATGCCAATCCGCACAAATCAAAAGACATCGACTATCACGTATAACTATTCAACATATCAGAAGGTAGAAATATAAAGACCAAAAAGAATAAAAGAGCAGGTACTTTGTAAGAAGCTGTTGGGTGTCAGATCAATAGACAAGAAAACTATTCAACTTCCAATACATAACAGATGTTCGTAGACCCAAGCAGTTCAAATGAAGAATATGGATCTTAAAATGCACCAAGCAGTGACGCTCTATTAGCTACCAACTTCATCTAAAGCAATTTTCTAACAAAATTAAAATTAAACAAAAGTTGAAGGTCCCTCTTGCTGAGCACAAATTTCTTGCATGGTACCATAATGTTGAAACAACAATAATTCATCATGTGTTAGGCAAATATCAATGTTGAGTGCGTACCCGAAAGGTAGTTTCTGAAGCTGTAGGAAAGAGAGATTTATGGACTTTCTGTTCACTTTTTGCCACCAATCTGAGACGCTCTACGTTGTTCTGGGGAAAAAAGGATAAAGCCTCACTCTAAAAGAATACCAGAAAAATTGCAATAATTTACATTGAAACAAACAAAAGTAAATGTAATACCTTTCTTCGTCCCTGGATTGAAAAATTATCTGTAACATCTCTCTCTCTACCTTCCATCAAAGAGATGCACTGTTTATACAACTCTGGCTTGACAAGATCAGGTGATATGTCAAGCTTGGAAAGATAAGTACAGCAAAGAACATCACTACCACTCTGCTTTTCAGAAGTCCCATTTAAACCAGGCATTTTAGAAAGCTCAGGTGTCTTATCAGATGGAGATTTTGAAGAAGCTCTGACAGATCGCTTTGCCAGGGATGAATCACTAGGTAGCTTGATGCCACTGGCATCAGCAACAGGCTGCTCTGATCTAGCCTTTTCATCACGAGAATTATGCCCCAAATTCCCGACCGAAGCTTCGTCAACTTGAGCTTGACGAGAATACTCATCTTCCTTCCACGGTGCAGGGCGATCTATATTAGCATTAGCATTCTGTCTGCTCCACATATCAGTACTCATTTCCCATCCTCTGCTGCTCAACAAATGCCTGTTCTGATCCCATTCCTGCCTACCATAGATATGGGATTCATCACCGAACACGTTGGCATTTCCATCCCACACTTGCAAATGAGGAGGACAGTCATCAACTGCATTATGCCATCCAAAAGGACGGACATGACCAGGAAACCTATTGCCCTCATGAATATGATAGGAAGGGTTGTTCAAGTCCATGGGTGGCCTCATACCAAATAGCGATGGAGCGGGAAACTGCTGAATGCCTGGATGAAAGCCTGCAGAAGGTCCATGTTGGAGGGGCATGAAGCCATTTGCAACTGGAGATGGCCAAGTTGGGGGACCTTTCCAAGGAGTTCCTGGACCTCTTCCTATAGTGGAATCACCGCCCCTTTTATATCTGGTGTTAATTTTACGCTCCCCATTCTGACTTCTAGTATCATCTTCATAAGAGCCTAATACAGATGGACTGTCTACTCCAATCCTTACAGGTGGTGGAGGGGGGAGATGTCCAGGTGAACTACCTTGTAGCTGGGCAGCTCTACTAGAGGATGATCCCACTGAAACATGCTCTCTTTTGAAAAGCTCCACCTGAGAAGAATCAGCCTCGCTGGGCTTCTCTGCAAGGTATTCACGTTCCCTGACATTGGCATGAAATGAAGAATCACCCTTTTTTCCCTTGGAACTGCTACTACTTCTTTGGCCACCTTCCTCCATATCAAGGCTGCGACGGGAAGTAATTCTCTCCGATCGCCGTTCAGATGTAGGGGATTTTTCTCTCAACTGGCTTGGAGAAGAACGAGTATCTGATCTTGGGACCCTATCATGATGAAGAAAAGAACCACCATCTGCGATGAATGCATCAGAATGGATGTTATCCTTCAACTTGGCTTTTTCTGAAGACCGAGATCCAGATATTCTCTCTCGACCTCCAGAAGCAGAGTGGTCTCTTGAAGCTGGGCTAGAGTTATGCCTAAAACATAAAAAGGAAAAAATCACATACCACTACCACCTATTTAGAATAGCATGCTTGGATATGTACTTGTTGTGACAATTATCAAAGAATGATCCTTCAGGAAATCAGAGATAAATAGTACACCCAATTTGCAAAAACGTTCATCCAAATCGTTAAGACTTAAGAAATATTAACATGAATTGCAATTGAGAAACTCTACAAACTTGATGCAAACAACAGTACTAAAACTTGAACATATTTCTACTTAATTCCCTTCAGATCTCCACATAGAGGAACACCAAGTATTTCGAAATGTTTGAATATTCCTGACATCTTCAGTCTGTCGCAAAGGTAACATAGTTAATTGCTTGAAGGGATTCTTCTACTCTAGCATATAATTATTGGCATTCGTTTTTAACAAAATCAGAAAAAAAGATAACGTAGACGTCATTTACAAGATGTCAAAAATGTATTTGAGTGAGAAAAGCAAAAGAGCTAATTGAGATAGCTCTATCACAAGCTAAACCACTTCCAAAATTGTTTTTATTAACAGGAACTAAAAATGAAAATGGGTAATAGACAATTATTTAGCTTCTCAATTACCATTTCATGCCCTTAGCTTCAAACCACCACACTACCCCCCCCCCAAGAAAAAAAAAAAAGAGGCCCAACCCAAAACACAAAAACAAAAAACCAGCATCACCACCATCTGGTACAGCCTAAGTTCGTCATGCTCTCCTAAATTTGTAATATGTATTCCAACAGTAAACTTTGTTCCTTATTTAAACTATTGTTTTTGTTGTTTGATTTGATCAAAATACAAATATTCACTAACAAGACTTAAAATAACAACTATTATAATCTAAGTATGCGCAAGCATTTGGTTACAAGGCCCATAGCAGAAACTGATTGGAAGCTAATAGTAAGAGGCAGAAAGAATACCTAATCTGATCCTTGCTACTATAAGCACTAGCATTGGGAGAATTCTTAGTTCGGCTATTGCTCAGGGAAGAATCAACCCTGTCAGAATGTGGATGTTCAAGCCTAGCTCTGTCAGAGCGTGAATCAAATTTACTAGAACTTGATCCATTTTTATTACCATCTTCACGTGGTTCTTTTGCACTTCGAGATTTCATGTCATTCTGGTCTTCAATTTCAGCAGAAGACCTTTTCCTTCCTCTGTTATCTTTAAGTTTGGTGCTATTATCATCAACACGGCGACTACCACCTCGATCACTGTCATGCAGCTTAGTTTTCTCATCATCAACACGACGAGTGCTATCACGATCATCTCTATAATGCTTACTGTCAGACCTCTCACTAGTGTGAGCTCTTGAGGAGCGTTCATCTTTGCGCTTGTAGTCATGGTGCCTCTGATCCCTGTCAAGCTCCTCCCTGTATTTTTCCTTGTCAAGCTCCTCCCTGTATTTTTCCTTGTCAAGTTCCTCCCTGTATTTTTCCTTGTCAAGCTCCTCCCTGTATTTTTCCTTGTATCTCCCATCTTTGTAGCTTCCATTTTTTGAGTGTTCAACTCTAGAAGATTCTTGTCTACCATCACCTTTTCTTCCATCATCTAGTCGGTCTAGGTCACCAGATCCTCCTCTTCTCCTTTTACTCCGTTTGTCAGACTCTTTTTCTATATCAGGATTGTGCATCTCGTCCTGTAGCTCTGTTAACCAAAAAAATAAAGACAGATTAAAGAACATTGTACTGATTAAAATGGGTACCCAACCCCATCACTACAAGTAGCAATTAAAGAAGTAAATAATTGGCAGTTAAATCTAGATATTCATAATTTAGGGAGAAAATCTAGAAATTTATCAACAGATAGACGACTCTATTGACAACCAGAAAAGGCGCTAATTAACTGAACAATTTAAAAGGTAACTCAGGCGGTTACCAACCAATCCATTGACAGAAACAATTGTTCAAAAGTGAAGTGGCTTAACAAAACACGACAGGTGCCTTAAAAATGTTAAATAAAAAGGAAGAACAAAATTCATAGAAAGGTACGAGAACAAATTGTTCATTAACAAAGAGGGATATCTTACTGAATATTGGAAAGAACGGGATATTGGAGAGAAAGAAAGTTCCAAAGAGCTTCAGATCATATTAATCACAAAGAAATTGAAGCTGCATAAGGATTTAATAACAGCTAAGAGAGAAAAAAGAATGTCCAACATTTGCAACATTGACTTGAAAAAACTATGATGACAGTATGACAAAAGCATTGGTAAAATGGTCTGAAACTGAGATTTTTTGGGTCATACATATACAATGTAGTAATATTTATTTGCAACATAGACTTGACAAGGCTATGATGACAGTATGACCTCACAAAGCTTTGGTCAAATGTTCTGCAACTGAATTTTTCTGGTTACACATTTATGATAAAATAGTAATTAAGGCTCTAATGCTAAAATTAAAGGAGATACATACCTTTCTTATTGGTAAAAATCAATAACTAAAAAAATGCAATCTGACTTGATAGCTACGGCCTCTGATGAACAACATACAAACAAAATCATAAAACAATGACGGTTCTGCATAAGATTTTTGAACAGGACCTCTATCAAACTTAAATGTTTAAACACAAAACATTTTCCACTAAACTTCAAAAGTGTGTGTGTATTCAAAACGTCTTGTTTGCTGTTTAAAATTGATGCGGTGTTTTAAAAGCTCAAGGCAAGCTCAAGGCGAGATGAGATCCTGTGTCATTGGAGATGAGACACCAAAAAGGCCAAGGGAGAAAAAGGTTTTTTGTGATAGGCAGTCTATGCATAGAGGTCGATTTCGTAATTCCTTTGCCTAATTTTGGCTTCTAGGTATGAATTCAAGTAGTATAAATGAAGTTTTGGCCATAACAATGGCTCCAGTTGGTATTTCCAAAAGTATGAGAAAGGGGGAGAGAAGCAGGAGCAGCTAACTCTTGCTCATACTCAATAATCTGCCAGTTAGCTAATGACAAAAATGAAACAGTTTACAACAAACCATAATGAGTTTCCTTGTTCTCCTCTTCGCTCTACTGCTTTTTTTAAACTCTGCACCAGTCTAGTTAATGAAACATAAGGAAATGACATAGAGAGAAAAGAAGAGGTTCATCTGAAGTTTGGGGCGGAAAAGGAGAGAAGAAAGAGGATCAATAGGAAGAGCACGTCAAAAAGATAAATGACATGAGATGAAAAAATTAGTCGCCCGCTAAAAGAAGAAGATAACATAGCAAAGACACTATAGGCCCAGAAAAACTCTTCTGTAATTCTACCACAGAAGTAGCATTATTTTAATAACAGAAAGGCATAAGAAATGAAGAAGAGAAACATAGGACAACTTGGAAAAGAGATAAGAAAGAATTTAACAACAGAAGGAAAGAACGTGATAAGTGGAGGGCACCACAGGCTTCTAAAGGTAAGTGACAAAAGAAAACAGAGGATCACTTTAACCAAAATTCCACATGTACTTAGCTTTTAAAAACAACCTCCATATATCATAAGCCCCCAAGAGAAAATTAATTAACAAGAAAATTTCCAAATCAATTGAGAAGCATGGTAGCAAAGTTAAATTATATTAGCAAACTAGCAATACAATCAAGCAGATATCTCTCGTAAATATCACCAAAACAAACTTGACAGGACTATTACGGAGCATCTCAATCAGTAGTTGCTCTTTTGGCTCCTCAGTGGCCCTCTCAAACTCCATACCAAAGGTCAAGTAATAAAAGATCAAGATAAGGACATATGACATGTATCATACGAAATGGTCTTGAAAATAGACAATACTCAGTAGCAGTCATGAGGTTTATGGACATTAATGTGCACATTATAAACCAATCAGTAAACGCCCCTTCTCACAGCGCTCACTTGTTAGAAAATCCTAGCATGGACACCAATTCTAGAGGGTATTCCATCAACTGTAGACACGAAATATTAATCATCTTAAGATGCATGTACCCATCTCAAGTGATCACAATCCGCGAACCTAGTTGTCATTAATATGAACTTAGACTGGCAATACTTAAGAATAACCTACTCAGTATGCTTGTCACTAGTTATTATTAAAACATACTACCAGATATACCATCTTACAAGGAAACAGATCTCATGAAAAATTGGATTTCTTCAGCGAATTTTTATCTCATCTAATCTCCCCACTGGCATAAAACTTTGACAATATATCATACATTTTTTCATTGTGATGTTTTCCATGCAACAGAAGAACATCTAAGTAGTTCAAGGCTGCTGTAGGATTTAGTAATTTGATTACAAAGAACACTACTGAACAAATTAGATCAAGTCACGTACTTGAAGGATCATAATAACGATAAACAAGAGTTTTGGGTACCTTACCAGAAATTTCAATTCCCGGCTTTACAGAACGTTCTTCTCTTCTAGCTGCTCTATCATCAGACCTCTCGTGTTTAAAATCCTGATCTTTCTTGTCTTTCTCTGATCCTCTCTCCCTTTCTCTATCCTTATCCTTCTCCTTTTCATCCTTACAACGACTGCTGCTACTCTCTCTCCTGCTACTCTCCTTCTCTAACCTCCTCTTCTCCTCGTTCTTTTCACTCGAACCCTCACGTCTTCTGCTACTATTAGACTTCCCCTTCGAATCCCCACCTAAAGACTTTGATTTTGAACTCTTTTCCAAATTTGCCGCATCAGATCCCTCCTTTTTCGACTCCTTCTCAACCCTAGCATCATCATCTCCGCCGCCATTCCACCTATCTCCGACGATGGCCGAATCTTCGTCTCTATCCTTCCGCTTCTTCCCATAATCCCCCGATACATCGCCGTTGCTGGTCCCAACTCCATCTTTAGACGAAGATTTCCTCTTCTCCTGATCCGAAACCCTAGAAACCCTAGCGGACTCTTCCTCCGCCACCTTCATCTTCCTGTCTCTAGAACTCCCCTCGTCTTCAGATTCCGAACGATCCCTGTGCTTATGAGACCGGTGAGATTTGTGACGGGAACTCCGCGCCATCGGTCGAACCCCTCTAAATCTCCAAAAACCCTCGAAACCCTAATTCCAAGGTCCCGATCGACAAACAAAGTACTCCGAAAACCTAATCTCAAATCAACCAATAGACGACAATCCCTGTAAACTCCGGTGAGAATTGGGGCGATCTGGCGGATGATTTGGCCGGAATCTGAATGGAAAATCGCCGGGAAACGAAAAGGGATCGGATACAAAGAAAGTTCTAAAGAAATCGAAATTTATAAAAGGATGGGACTGAGAAAAGAGGGGGGGAAATCGAATAAAAGGGGGAGAAATCGGTGACGGATCGCGGGGAGCTTGGCGTCTGTGCGATGAAAAGAGAGCCGCCCCTCCGGTTTTCCTCCCAATGCTCGCGGATAGTTAGATCTGTCCCTTTGACGTAAATACCCCTGGGTTTTTGCAAGGGTTGCGCGATATTCGCTGGATTTTTTTGGGTATTTTGGTCATTTAGGTTTTAGCAGGGGGGCGAGTCCTATTCGGTCCGGGTTTGGGTAAATGCGATACCGATCGTGTTCGCCCGTCTACCCAACGCGTCGGGCTTGATCCCGTTAGGATTTGGATGTGTGGATCTCTCGTGCCGTTTGAGGTTTGGATAATATTTTTGATTTGGCCACTTGGATTTGCTCTATATTTGGAGGAGTTGCACAAAATATTGATGTTTTTTTTTAATAAGGTAAGACCATTAAAGTCCTTCCTTGTATTACGCTTCAGATGCCAATAGTGAGTAAACGAAAACAATTGAGAGCGAGCTAAATATTGAAAAGATAATATATAATTCACTAGTAATAATAAGGGAGACCATGAAGAGCGCCTGATTTGTTTTTATTAGAAGAGTTCAGAGATTTGTGCTGTATTTACATATTCGCGTCAAGCAATTTTTTTCCGCGATTTCTTTCATCCTGAAAACTAATATAGAAAATGATTGACCTGTTAAATTGTTTGATCTCATGGATGAAGTTAGATGATGGCAATGAGATCGTGCAAATGGAGGAGAACAACATTGGTAAGTAACAATAAAATCTTGCCATAAAACTTTTTGTAAAAACTAACATCTTAGAAATCAATATGAGTAATTTAAAAAAAATCTCTCCAAAAAGAAGGTCCAACATTTTTGCATGAACAATGAACATCATCATGCTAATTAGGTAGATGTTATATCTATTATTTACAAGTCTTACCAATTATCTTGACATAATAGGATCTTCAATCCCAAATATGTTTTGATTCAGTCTTTTGATTTACCTGGGGATAAAATGTTTTTTTAATTCTAAATAATCAAAAAATAGAAAACAAAAAGGTAAAGAGAAAGAGATAGATGACTATCAGATTACCATTATAGATGACAATGCGGTTGACTGAGAGAAGGAGAAAAGTGAGTTGATAAAATAACAATTTCACCATCACTCACATATCTCAAATTTATTCTCACTTTTTATTGAAATTGTTGTAGGTTCAAGGTCTTATATGTGTAAAAAATATATAGAAAATCCATTTTAGATACTTTTTATACGCTGCATTAACTATTAGAATAATATAATTGTCTCTGCAATGAACCTCAAGAAAGGGCATGAACCGTCTCAGTCATTAGGTTGGGGGGCCTCCTAATAAGGAAAAAAAACATATATCGTACTTGTAGAAACGGCGACGAAGTTCAGAAGAAAATGCAAGAGAACAAACTACAGGTTTCACGGTCGACCGCGAATGGCACGGCGGTCGACCGTAAACGTGCACGAAACAGGAGTATGCATCTGGACTTTTGCAGTCGACCACGATGGATTCAGCGGTCGACCGCGCCCAAACCCAAGAGACACAAAAGTCTCTGGACTTTTGGCGGTCGACCGCGATTTGGGGTTAGGCGGTCGACCGCGTAGCGGATATTGGGCTGTTTTGTTTCCTGCTCCGTTTTCTGATTGGGTTTTGATATATATTAGAAACACTCGTTTCTAGGGTTAAGAGAGGAGAGTTTTAATAGAGATTTAAGATTGTATTGAGCATTGTGAGAAGGAGATATTGCGAGCAAGGAGAGAGTTCTGGTTTAGGGTTTATTTGTGAGTTTTGTGAGTTGTAACCCTTTTGTACTCTTCTTGATTTAGTGAAATATCCTCATCCTCTCCCCGTGGACGTAGACAAATTATCGAACCACATGTATCTGTGTGTTTAGTTTGATTTGTCCGATTTTGGATTGGATTGTGCTCGTGTTTGATTTGGTTTTCTTTTCTCGTGGCTCACAGACTCGTTTGATGTGCGAGCACGCTTCCGCATAGACGCGCAACAATTGGTATCAGAGCTCAGATTTCAGATCTAGGGTTTTGACATTAGGTGGAGGAAGATTCGTTATGAAAGCTTGGTTCTTGGAGTTCTACGCTTCAATGGAGATAGTGTTTGGGGTTACCGTTGAAGATTTCGCTTTCCTCGTGTGGTTAGGAGATCTAGTTGGAATCCGTTCTAGGGTTCAGTTGGGTAATTTTCAAATCCTATCAAGTTTGAATCTTTCTTTGCAATTTAAAGTTTGTGAATATGGGTGAAGAAGTTGGTGAAAGCAATAAGATGGTGGGTACAGTTCAAGTTGGTTTTCAGAACACTAAAATTAGTGTGGTTAAATATGACGGTAAGATCAATTTTGGGTTGTGGATGAGTGATGTTCAGGATGCGCTCAATGCTCAGAATTTGGAAGAGACCATCATGGTTCAAGAGAGATCACCTAAATATGAAGAGTCGGTATGGGAAAAGATGAATAGGAATGCTTGTGGGGTGATTAGGTCTTGTTTAGAACAGGAGCTGAAATATAATGTGATTGGGTGACGTCTGCAATGAAAATATGGGAAATTCTCAACAATAAGTATCTTACGAAGAGTGTTGAGAACAGATTGCACTTGCTACGTAGGTTATTCAGATTCAGATGTCTAGGGGGCACCTCACTAGCAGTTCATGTGAACAACTACACTAAGTTATTGTCGGACTTGGTGAATATTGATGAGAAGATATCGGATGAGTACAAAGCTATTATTCTTTTGAGTTCCTTACTGGATGAGGAGTATGATACCTTTATGCTTACTTTGTTGAATGAGAGATCTTCTATCAGCTATAATGAAGTAAGTAACGTTTTGACAAACTATGATTTGAGGAAGAAAGACAATGAGACTTCCCATGCTAGTACTTTAGGAGAGGTCTTGACAACGAGAGTAGAAGCCCATATTCGAGAGGTGGCCATAGAGGCAAGTCAAAGTCTAGAGGCCATCACTAGTTAGCAAAGAACCAATATGTATTCTGCAAAGAGTAAGGACATTAGAAGAGAGACTGTTCGAAGCTCAATGAGAAGGAGAATGACAAGAAAAAGGACCCGAAGGCCAATAAGGTAAATGTTGCGAGAGGCGATGATTCAGATGATTCGAGCTTTTCTCTATTGATTACTCCGAAGGTGTGTTGGGTCCTCTTGTTTTGATGATGATTTACAAACAATTTACAACTAATGTTGTTTGTCTAATGTTTGTGTTTTGTATTTATTCTAGGCAAACAATATGTTAGAGGATGAATGGAATTGAGCTTTCACGATCATATCCAATGGAGGTTGGCAGGATAGTGGAGTAAAGCGATGCAATTCAAGTTAAAGATTCAAGTTCCTAGCTTCATCTACAAGCTTACCAAGAAAGAGCTTATTGAAGATCAAGATCATCGCTTGGTATATTAGTTTAGGTTTTTATATTATGTGTATTAAATACTTCAAGCTCAATTATATACACACATATACGTTTTGGTTTTTGTATATATATATAGTTATATATACATATATGTTTTGGTTTAACTATATAGATATGAAACAATATATATCTTTATATATACTTTTATATGTTTCATATTCTATTATATTTGGAAAAATATTATGTTTTTGGTTTATATGGTTTATAGACTTAACAACTATAGTTTATACTTTTTATCATGTCTATAAAATTATTTTACAAAGTTTCAAAACTTAGTTTATGTCAAAACATCAAAATTCAAGTATCTCATGTTTTCATAGTTTGGACATATTTGCAAAATGATGATATTTTACAAATGAGAGATGCTTTTTGAAAAACAGTTTTTGTAACATGTATATTATCATGTTTACAATCATTTTCCAAAGTTTTACATTTTTCTGAATTTATTTGCTATTTCTAAAGGCACTTTTAAAATCAGACTTTCAGCATAAACAGTGCATGTGCATGTTTATAAGTCGACTTATAAACCCTGGCAATTCAACTTATGAACTGCTCTGGAATGTGCAAAAATCTTTCTGTCAAGTCGACTTATACGAACTGTTAAGTCGACTTAGTCTAAGTCGACTTATGAATTTTTCAAGTCGACTTATGACCTGAGTTTTGAGAGTTAATTTTCTTTTGCAAGTCGACTTATGTGAACTTTCAAGTCGACTTATTGTAAGTCAAATACAAGTCGACTTATAAATATGACCGTTGCACAGTAACAACTATTTCCAGATTCTGTTTTTGTGTGGGTTTTTGGTCATTTCCTTAGGGTTTTGGCTGATGTATTGGGTTGCTATAAATACCCCATTGCATTTACCTCTCCCATAAAATAAGAGAAAGGTTTTAAAAGAGTTTATAAGTTTTGTTTAAGGGTTTAAGTGTGGTTTAAGAGTTCTAAGTTTGTGAAGATAATTTCATAAGAGCTAGAAGAGATCACCATTTGTGTTTAAGCTTCAACTCTTCTCTCTCTCCCTCTTGTCATCATATAGAGAAGTTTCCTAAACTCATTCTAGCTATTTATTGTTTTAATTTATAATTTCCATAAGCTAGATTTACATTAAGTTTAGATTGTTTTGATTTATCTATTTGTTCACGCACAACCTATTGAGCTTATTGTATTTACATTCATAGTATAATTTGGGGTTGTGGGTTTGTGACTTAGAGTTGTGCTTAATTGAGTTCTCACCTTGTTTAGAGAACATCTTATTGTAGAGAACCTAAATTGTGAGTTGCACTTTGTATTACACTTGGACACTGAGAAAAGTTGTTGGTGAGAGATGGGGTCGGTTCCAAAAGGAGTGGGGTCGGTAGTAAAGCCTAGAGAGAGGTGGTAATTCCAAACACTTGAGGAAGGTCACACGGGCTAGGCCAACACTTAGAGGGTGTGAAGTGTATTAGAGTGCCTAATTGTGAAGTTCATTTTGTATTATACTAGTACACCAAGAGGAGTGTGTGGTGAGAGACGAGGTCGTCTCAAGAGAAGTGGGGTAGGTGGTAATGCCTAGAGAGAGGTTGTAATTCCTTAACACTTGAGGGAGACACGGGCTAGAGACTAATACTTGAGGTGGTAGTTAGTGTGTTTACATTGTGAGTG